CTTCTGGAATAAACATGGACAATTGGCGACACTACTTACGCCAGAGGCACACGAACACTATCACCAACTTGCTCAAGTGGAGCTTGGCATATCATCTAGATGAACACTTTTATCTGTTTGCTCAGTAAAGGCACCTGTTGTAAAACTATAGATGAGCCACTCGTCGTCCACCTCCTAACTTGTAAACTTAGACGATGAGAAGAATAACGATATATTTCCTGAAAAAACTAAATTAGTTGATACCAAGTACTTATTGAGATCCGGAGAGTAGCACCTGTATCCTTTCTGAAGATGAAAATATCTCAAAAATACACACTTCAAGGTCTTTGAGTCCAATTTTGTCACAGTAAGTCACACATATCGAACATAACAGGTATTACCAAATATCTTAAACTGCACCGGAAACAAAGACTTGTTAAGAAAAAGAAAACTATAAGGAACATTCCCATCAAGCACTGTAGATGTCATACGATTAATCAATAAACAAGTTGTAGAAACGGGGTTAGCCCAGAATTGTTTAGAGACTTGTGTTTGAAACAAGAGGGTTCGAGCTATCTCAAGAAAATGCTTATTTTTTCTCTCAACGACCCAATTTTGAGATGGTGTATCAACACACGAGAATTGGTGAAAGATCCTATGTTGTGTCATATAGTTCTGAAATGAATCTGACATATATTGTTTAGCATTATCACTCCTCAATACATACATAGAAACATTGAATTGTGTCTTGACTTCAACACAGAAAGTACAAAAGTGAAAAAAATACTTCTGAACGCTTATTCATAAAATATATCCAAATTCTTCGAGAAAAATCATCCTCAAAAGTAACGAAATACTTGAACCCAATTTTGGACAAAATAGGACAAGAGCTCTAAACAGAACTAAATCAAAGCCAGACTCAGCTCGTCTATTGACCTTGGACCTGATGGACTACGATGATACTTTACAAACTGACATGACTCACAATCCAATGAAAGTATATCATGAAACTGAGAACATAACTTATTCAATACAGGTAGAGATGGATGTCCCAATTGGCAATGTCCTTCGAATTGAGAGATAATAGTAGAGCAGGTAACTGATCGAGGTACCCAAGTATCAAAAATGTAAAGACTACCTCATATATTTCTTTTACCAATAGTCTGATTCGTCATAAGTTCTAGAATAACACAGTAATCAGGAAAAAATATAATACAACAATTCAAATTTTTAGTAAACTTACTTACAGATATCAGATTGAAGGCAAGTATAGGTAGAGTTAATATAGATGACAGAGTAATAAATTACATTGATTTTGTAGTCTTCGAACCCACAATATTAAACGTCGACCCATCAGCAATAGTTACAAAAAAATGTGCTTTGTGTGGTCGAAAATTAGAAAAATATTAAGATTGTCTGTCATGTGATCTGTAACACTAAAATCAATCACTCATCTGTTTGAGAAGAAGACAAGACATTTTTCTTTTGATTCAGTAAGAGAATAAAATTTATTTAAAGATTCCCGATACTAAAGTGAATTTAGTATACTGATCAGCTAAAATCATAACAGTTTTCTCAACGGACGAGTTAGCAGTAGCAGTAATAATATTAGCGATCTGTGTCCTACGATTAAGATTTTGCAATTTCTTACAATATCGTTTGTTATGCTCTTCTTCACGGCAGCAATAGCAAACAATATTATCATCCATTTCAATCTAGAAATTAAAAATATGTCACTCAGATACTCAAAACTCAACAGTCCAAAGATACCCAGAAAGCATTGTAAATATATCAGAAAAATATGATAAAACAGAATATCTCTTCGCACACGGCTGTCTACAATCCTACCAAAACTATT